GACGACCTGTTGCATGCCAAAATTGTTTACCTCTCGACGTATTTTGGCCTCATTTGATTGTGCGTTTGTTTATTAAACAAATTTAAGCAAATTGAATCGCATAGTATTCCCAGGACGTATCGAATTTTATAAGCTGAGAATTTGAGGAGATACTTTATTATGTAAATGCGTATCAGTGCGAGGAAATATGGACGAGTGTCTCCCTTGCCAGTAGAATTGATGAGCGAAGAGGTAAAAGCCGTTTCCTCTCTTTAATTTCTTTTGCAAAGTAAATTAATTTCGTTTGCGCACCTTGTGACAAAATACTCGAAATCGACACCTTTCCGTGTGTAAATATTAAAATCCAGAAATTAAGTACCTATAAGTATTTAATGTTTATTTAATTCTATTAAGAAAATTTCCTTCGGCGCGGTAAAATTCTTGCACCGATCTCCAATTAATCACTATTGATTGAATTCCTTTGAATAAGTACTTCTCGCAGATCCGTTTCATTTTCTCAAATTGAAACATAAAAGTTTATATTTCTTTCTTATAAGATGAAAGTGTGGACCATTAAAAACTGGTACTCTTTTAATTACTTTAGTTTTCCCATTAAACTCTATATAAACTTTTCTGATATAAAATTCCCATATCGGTATAGTACACATACTGCACAGAGTGTAAATTGGCTTACTAAAAATGTGAGTGCAATTTTAAAGTAGTAGAAAATTAGCAACTGCTATCTAATATGCAGTTATTTAGGTTTGAATTTATAGTCATCCTGTGTAGAAGATAGATAAGAAATCGCGTGGTGACTTTTAACCCGGTTATGGCTATCCTGAACAAGGATGTTTGTGGAATGGAATGGAATTCTTAAAACCGTGGTGCGAATGAAATACTCTTTTCTGCTGCGTCGTTTAATTTCAATACCGCTTTGTTTTGTAATGTATTTCGGAAGTCTCGAAACCTTTAACGTTAATAAAAAGGCCTGCTTGCAACGTATGTACGTATCCATTCACCGAAGGAATTTTTGTTTGCTGTCGTAAGGTCACAAGGTGCATTTCCAGAGGTATCGTTATACGGAGGCCGTTCCGATCTGATTGTATTATCAAACGTATTCTTGACTGCAGGATATTTAGAAGAACTGTTGTACGTTTGTTTATTTAAGATCAAGGGTCCTTATACTATTAATTGAAGCAGAGGAATATTAAAGGAAGTTTGAATCTAGTGTTTCTTAAAGATGGTCTCCATTTTCCTGGTTGGAAGTTGAGAGCGTATTCTTGCATCGAGGGAGTCGATTAATGATTAAAAAACGTCGTACAAATCCGGGGCATCCAGGACTATTACATAATCTAACAGCTTCTACGGCATTTTTCTTTTTAACCGAAACCGAAAAATACGATAATTGTCCTATATATTAAGAGTCCTGGAAATTAAAGCAATAAATTAACATTTGCAGAGAAAATTCGAAATGAATAAGTTAAACTTGCGAAAACTCTGACTTATTAATGTGACTACATAAGTAAAACAAATAGTTTCTGCTTCCGTTGTGGCATTCCTTGCCAAAACAGCAAATTGTACCATTATTATAGACTTTCAATATAAATAAGATGATAAATTGCGTAGTTACCATGGTGACATTTTTGAGAACCGATAGATCAGTTCAGAGCCCGAACCTCGCCCTTTAAATTAATGGTAATCCTTTTGTCTAGACTTATCTCTGTACATTCTACGGATGCTGCAGTGCTTTCACTAAACGAAACAATGAAACCGTTTTGCGGATTTGCCCTTGTGATTAATTTTCCAGCGGTTAGTACCGTCGCATTTTAAACAAGTAACTCGAAAAAGAAGTAGAGCGACAATCTTCTTACATACCGTTAGTCAGATTTAACACTTAGCGAACTCGAACAATAATCCCAGGGGAAAAAATTAAATGGAAGTCATAAAGCAGCCAAGTATAGCCCAAAAAGGAATGAACGTAATTTATATTTAAACCACCACCTGTTAGACTATACTGCAAACAGCAGCCGAGCGAGCTTTAAGCGTAACTAAACGAATATATTTATGAGTATACGGCGGAGCTTAAACTAAAAATTATATTGCGGCGTTTCGCAAATTCAGTAACGAGGGAGTATCAACTCAAAAACGTAAATGTTCTTTTTTGCAGTATGAGAGCTTGGAATTAACTTAATTTGTATACAAATCTACCAATATCTGTACTAAAATACAGTGATATATATTCACGAACAAAAATATAATTTTTAATCCTGTCTATTGCAAAAAATAGTTGGGCGAAAGAGGGAAACCTTTGTTATTAATAGCAGTTGTAATCTTGTTTCAATTTTTGATGAATGAATGAAGTCTCCGTTAGTTATTTTTTGTCTTTAATTAAATATCTTGGAAAGATTCCCAGATCGAGTGGGATTGCATGGGGAGCTTTTTGAAGATAGAGGTAGGTTAAATGGGAAAAGTGTTGTAATTGCCGATTAAAATTACCTGTAGAAGATTTGATAATTATAGCATGTCAAAATTTGAAAAAAATACGGCATCGGTTTCAAAAAATTAAATATTTGCTTAATTATAAAAGCCATCGTAAAAAATCTCATAGGATAGATAGGATAATCTCAAAGATAATGTTAATCGGAAATTCAAGATTGTTTTTATCAACATGTTCATAGTAACTTTCTTTTGTTAAATTGACAGTTTCATTTCTCCGTAAGCTCTCAATTCACGGTAGGCCACGTTAAAAGCACGTATTATAATTATTGGACGCCAGCTTCGCAAGTGGTAGTTTTTGAATTATCAGAAGATTCTTTAAAGGATCCCTAACGTCATGAATTAATAACAAAATGATAAGATTGAGCAGAGAATATTGGACGAATATCTGATGAAGCCCAAACATTTTTTTGATAAAAACCATCGTGATTTAACAAGGATTTTTGTTAACTCTTTGAAAAGTATACTTGAAAGGCATCGGTCGCTTGGGGAATGTAGGAAACATTATTCAAGAATTTTCTGAGAATTCCTTAAAATACAGACACCAGATTACCACAACAACAATTTGATTAGGGCTCGTTGTCAAATGTTATTAACAATCACGTTTTAATCTCTGTTTATCTTGCATAATGCGCAATGGTATACTTTTATAAACCGTAATCGCTAAATAGGACAATGCAAGATACGTTATAACGTAGGTCAGGGGTATCAAATTGCGTCAAAAAAAGTTACCTTCATGCAATAATTCGTATGGATAGTAAAATTGAGCACGTTGTTGTGTGAAGTTAAATTAATGATAACCTGTTTGCTATAATTGGGGAAATTTCATTTGAATTTATTTAAGTTATTAAACCAACAACTCCTTAGACGATTTTATTATTACTTCCCTCCTATCTTGCCAGTTTTATATAGTGAGTTGTTTTTTGAAAGAAGCTGAGTGGCACTAAACGTTAGGTTAAGGTACAAGGAAGCGACAAAGATTTTGGGCTCGGGCGAATTAACCGCTTTTCATGCTTTCCATCCATGAGGTACCTGGTCGTTTAAGAGGTAGGGTTTTCAGAAACGCAGTGCCACTGAAACTCGCGTATCAGGAGCGGTATTTTTTCATTAAACTTTAACGCTGGAAGGAAGGTAAATTTTGAACTCAAAACTGATTGTCGAGATCACTTTGTGTTTAATCGTTTTTACGGATATTGCAATGGAATTTCCCAAGTTCTAAATAAAACATTTCTAACGCAAAAGGTCTTCAGATCTGGTGGATCCTCTGTGGCCGAGTCATCAAATCTGGTAGATTCTTGGTTGACGGTATGAGGACCGGCCTTATTTATTTTTCAAAGATACACGAAAGGACTATTTAAATAAGCAACAAATTAGAATTTAGGATGCTTTGGTAACATTTACAGTCGAGTCACTGAAAGAAGGAAGATTTTCACCATTCAATACGAAAATTCATTGCAATTTTATTTTCTATTCTTGGGGATTTAAACGTGATAAAGAAAAAAGTGAAACGCTTCTGACACAAACGTCACCAGATGTGATGAAGAATGTTAGAGTATCCGTATGAGAATCTGCGTTATTTGTTTTTAAACATGCAAAAAGAGAGTATGTAAAAAGGCAATAAGTTTAGAATTTAAGATTTTTGTAGAGAAATTCTTGCTATTTAGTATTTTCGATATCTTAATGATATTTACAGGAGGTTCACCGAAAGAAAAAGATCACGTTTCCAATACAAAGATTAGCAAACGAAACGCATTGCAACTGCGTATTGCTATAATTAACCAAACCAATTGAAGTTTTATTTGCTATTTCTATAAGCAAAAAAAAACATAATTTCTAACATCGTAAGAAGTAATGAAAAGGGTCTCTTTAATAATTCAAGAATTAGGTTGCACTGCGTCTTATGCACATTACTTTTTTTCCCATTGAAAATTGAACTCAAATATCATTTGCGTAATTGAGGACTACACGAAGAATTTTCTTAAGACTCTTTAAGGATTTCTTAAAATATGGAATTTTAATCTAAATAATTTGTACCATACTCGTATTTCAAACGTAGTGTATAATTTAAACAAGCAGGTGTAAGAAGAACATAAATATTGCAAAGGGAAATTTTCCACCAAAATTATAAGCAAATTAATTAATGTTCCTTTCGAGAAAATAATCACTGAATATGGAAACGTTGCAAACCACTAATTTTACTATTTGCTGTTATTGTGCGAATCAGTTGCACATCGTTACAGATTACCACAACAACTGTTTGATTAGGACTCGTCGTGAGATGTTATTAAAAATTACTGGCTTTTAAATTTCTCTTTATCATTTTTAATGCACAATTGATGACTTTATGATCCGTAATCGCTAAGAATTAGCACGACACATTATAGCGCAGGTCAGGGGTATCAGTTACCTTTGTGTTGCAAGAAGTTAAAAAAATGATAACCCAGTTCCCTTATCAAAATTCGATGCAAAAAGTATTGATAAAAAGTCTAAAGGTGATTCTAGATTCGGTATAAATTTGTCCGAGAAAAATGCAATAGTAACATTTGGTTCAAGCAAGTTGACCGAAAATGGCTAAGTTTGCAGTGTTCTTCGTCGCAGCTTTGGCTTTCCAAGTAAGTAATCTTAACTCATAATTCTTTCTTGGCTAACGTTTTTGTTAACAGGCCACCTTTGCCTTCCCCAAGTATTTTGAGGAGGGAAAACTCGTAAACTACTTGGATGAAATCCAAACCGAAGTTAAGGATTTGACTCTCTTCCTTCGCAACGATTTCCCAGAAAACCACTTCGCCGTTGAGACCATCACCTGGCAATTCCGTCAACTTGCTTTTGTTGTTGATGAAATCATCAACAAAATTCACCAAGAAGTAAGTAACTAAGAAGCGTCTAAACAATTTTGTCTAACCAATTCTTATTTACAGATTTTCATCCACGAAGTAGAAGGTCACTATGTCTTCGAGCAAGTCACCTTCATGCTTAGGGAAATCCATGCCTCCCTCAAGAAGATGGCTCTCTTCACTGAAACGAGAGACCTTCACGAAGTTAAGAAGGACTTTATCCTGTGCATAGAAACCGTCTACGAAAACATTGAGAAATTGGTCCACCTTACTTACACCTCCTACCCCGAATTCCGTTTCACCCTCAAGTATCTTCTCGTCGACTTCATGACCACCCTTCACCACATTCGTTCTCATTGCGAACAATTGTTGAACACCGTCGAAGTTGAATTCACCCCAAAACACTTGATCACCAAGATCCATGACTACACTCGTGAATGTACCGAAATGATCAAGGAATTCAATCATCCCATGCAAATGAAAGTCGCCCTCCGGGGATATTTGAGATACGTTCGTGAAATCGTCTACCTCTTGGAAAAAGAAGTAAGTTGCTTATATATAAGTTGCGAAGGACGCTCTCGATCTTATTCCGCTCCAATGTTTAGACTATCGTAGGCGAGAAGGAGTTCGATCTCCTTATGCATCACCTCACCAACAAGCTCCGTGAAATCGTATTCCCGCTCATGGAACTTACCATGACCGAAGAAATGGTAGACATGAAGGTATTCAGAACCAAGTTTGTGACCTACCTCTTTGACATTGTAGGTGTCTTCGAACAAATGATCCAATATTGCGAAACCAAGCATATTCGTAAGTAGTGATAGGAGTCCAAGACGGTACAAGCTCAAAATTTAAATTTCAGCCGTCGAAATCAAGTACTTCATCCAAAGAATCATGCACAATTATTTGTACGCGGTGAAGAACGTCTGCTACGAAATTAGATTCGGTTGCAAAATCGGATTCTTCATGCCCGAATACTATACCATGCACTACTACGGCAAATACGGATACGGACTTTACGAAACCATGTTCCGTAAGCACTTTTTGAACTACGACATGGGAATGCACACCCTTTTCCCAATGCACAAATTCTTCATGGGCAAATACGAAAAAATGTACACCCCAATGTTCGGCAACATGCACAATTTCGATATGGAATACTACAACAAATACGGAATGGAAATGTTTTCCCGCAAATACGGAATGAACAAATACTTCAAGGAATTGCCATTCGAATTCGAAAGCAAGACCCCCAAGGAATTAGTTATGCGCATGGAAATGCTCGTCAAGCGCGTCGTCGAACACTTCGAATACAGAACCATGAACGTTAACGACGAATCCACCCTCTACTACATTCGCGAATTCCTCACCTGCCTCGACCTCATCTGCCACAGATTCGAATCCATCACCTACACCGACATGATGATCAGAGAATTCCTCATGAACCTCAAGGAAATGAAAATGGAACTCGAAAAGATGATCTCCATGCGCATGTTCCACAACGTTCACGAAATCAGAATGTACTTCGTCCGCTGCATCAAAATGGTCGCGACCCAGCTGTACAAAATGGTCATGGTCGAAAAATTCGAAACCGAGCACTTCGATCACGAGATGTTCAGACACATCCTTGTTGTATACATGAACTTCCTTCGCAAATTCCACGGTCGCGAATACATGATGCACACCACCTTCACCACTGGCCTTAAGACCCATAAGGAAATGATCATGCGCATGCACACTCTCACTGAAAAATTCATGGAATTCTTCAAATACGAACGTGTTGAAATCAAACATTGCATTCGTAACTTCATCGAAGTCATCGATTACGCCATCAAAAAACTGCACTATACCGTAAGTCAACCAATTGTCCATCGATCGCTCAATTTAGGTCTGCTTTGAATTACAGATGATGAACCATTTCGACCGTGACGAGACCGTCGTTCGCGAAATCTACATGCAGTTAAAGCAACTGAGAATGGAACCTCCTCACTTTCGATGGCATGGACATGCACAAGATGACCGTTCGCTTCGAAGAGTGCCTAAGAATGTTCACTATGCAAATGGAAAAGTTGGCCGTTTTTGAACACGAACACCCAATCTTGTTGAAGGAGATCTGCATGCGTTACGTCATGTTCCTCGAGAACTTCTGCCACAAGGGAATGGAAGTTTACCCAACCATGCACCACGATTTTGAAATGAAGAGAATGATGCCATTCTACTTCAGACACGAAATGAAGTATTAATTTTGTAACCAAATGTAACATATTAAATTTATTAAAATTTTGCAAACGAGCTTTATGTCAAATTTCATATCGAGCTGACGCATTATCCATGGAAAGGGAGAGGAGATTCCTTTACTTTTCGCAACGCAATGTAGCCACTAATTCAAGTTCAAAGGGCAAACACACTCAGTATTTTCAGGGATGATCGTATCATACTACCACCGCACATTTGTCGTGTAATATATGCTTATATTTCTACGATAGTTCCCGTAACTTGGAGAGACTGTCATGAAACGGAAATGAAATATAAAGTTGGTAGACAAATAGCGCTGGCATCGTAGAAAGTTTGCAAGTTTTCTGCTTTTATTTTCCAAAGTATTACAAATGCTAGCCCAATTTTATGTGAAATCTACATTATTAAGTTAATTATTAGGTCACATTAAGTTTAAGACACGGTATCAAATAAGTTCAGTGAGACTTTCATTCCAAAGAAAGAAATTGAACACTAACTCTTTGCTCAAATGGTCGGATTTAAACTGTTTTGTCTGAAAACCTCACGAGCAAGATACGTAACATGTGCACGATTTAGCACTTACGCTAATACTTCAGAAACAAACACGATCGGAGGTTCGACTACTTTAACCACAACTCATGTACCTACGATTTTCCTTTTGCCGTTGCAAATTGATTGAACCGAAACCGTTACGTTCGTGCAACTGAAAATAGGGAAAATTCAACATAACAGCGAAGTCGATCTCGCAAAATATTGACGTTTTCGCATAGTTTCCTTTTAAAAATTTTACATTTTGTTTTTACGCTTGGAATGGTCACCGAAAACGGCAATAAATCAAAAATGAAAATGTGTAAACATGTAGATTACATAAGGTATGTAGAAACGAGGATTGTTTTTCCACCCTCAGGTGCCTGACGATCGAGGAAAAGTAAAACTACTGAAAGCCGTCAGATCTCGTGGACCTTTTCGTGACATTTCAACTTTTATGACGGGCAGGTAAATTTGGAATTAAATCTAAGAACTAAAAGTGGAACGCTGTCAATTCATAGTGTAGACATTGATGATCGACAGGAAGACTGCTTATAACAGAAAAAGTCACAGAATCTGCAGGATTTTTGGATAACCTTGGTGCAGTACTCTGGCCTTATTTGTTTTCCAATCTTGCAAGATTGAAAATTCTCCATTTTTACAGAGAACCCGTGACTAATTAGCAATTTGCAAAGAGTATGATCCACATGTTAAAGTGTCATCAGTGATCTAATCTCATACACGTGAATAAGACCCCATCTCCTCTTAATAATACTCTTTTCCATATTTTCACAACGATCAAAATTAATAACCGGCATCCATTACTCTCAACATTTCAAAGAGCTCACAGAAATACGTGTATAATGCCATAAGCATAATATACATAGGTATAAAATATTGTTTTGCATATTGGTATCTTGAAGTAAAGGAGCGTAGTAAAGCGAAAAACATCGACGAACTTTGAAAGCTTTTCTTTGATCCAAATATCTAAGGTATGGAAACGTATAATATTTATACGGTCTATCACGCATTACTTTCGTTTTATGCCATTACAGTTACGAAATAGGACAAAGACATAAAAAAATCACACAAAAAATACACTTTGAGGAGGGTTGTAAATTTATGTCGTACAATGTAGCTTATATTTAGCCAACGTAGAGCTATTGGATGCGTCATAAATTGTGAAACGACCAAGCGGTTGAGGTTTGTGTACAATATGTTAGAGACGACAAACTGTTGCTGCTATTACCCGAGAGCAAGTACTTTCTTTTGTTAGCTTTTCGATCATACAGTTTGAAATAGAAAATTGAAACAAACTACTTCATTTCGAAACTTGTTTTCCCACACGTTTAACTGATGCGCATTATTTAATTAAAGTGTCTGCAAAGTTTTAACGTTAGCATTTTGTTAGGGATTAGCTTCGAAGGCGTTTTTTACTGCAGAAACTTGGGGATGGAATAAATAGTTCTTTCGGGTCTTTCAATAGCGGAAGCAGTAACATTAAATAGCACTTTTTATTATTTTGCTTGGCAGTAGCCAGTAGGGCAGTATTTCATTTTTGTTTTACAATCACATTGCATTATAATGTAGTTTGTGTATCACAAATATCTTTATAATGATCATTCCGTTAATAAAAATACCGTTCAACCTCTTTCACATGTCAAGGTACCCGTTTCTCTCCGTGAAGCCATCAAAATGGCGAGAATTTAAACTGAAAAACCAATTTTGAATAAATATGATATGATTTTTGGAACGCGTTTTTCAGACGTTCTCGTGTGTATGAAACTGTGCAAGCTGCAAAAGTCCTAAAGTTTACGCAATTAGAGAGATGTGCATCTTTAATTTGAGAAAGAAATTTGAAATACGTTTCAGAACTTGTAAAAATTGTCCAGTTTAAGAGGAAGAAAGATTTTAAACTCTTTAGGAGTTGTTAATGGAAATCTATAATTTCTTTACCTCGGGGGTATTCTGGAAATGGACAGCAAATCCTTTAGGTTAACTGTTGTTTCGAAAAATGATCCCCATTTTATATGAGTTCAAATACGTATATGCAAATATATTCCAGCTTCATGGAATGAAGTTCATATGCAGCCAGTAGCAATGAATAATACAAATGTCACATTTCAATTTAATTTCAATAATGTTGTACATTTCGCATATCCTCTAAATGAAAGCGGCCATTTAAATGAAACTCGAAATTCATACATATAATCGCATAAATTAAACCCGTGTTATTTAAATTCTCACTTTTACAAAACACGGAGTTTAATTGATCGTAATGTAGCCCTTTCGCAAAGTGCGATCCGACCGATGATAGGGAGTCTGTGTCGATTTTCTCAAGGCATTGCTTTATTCCGTGATGGGAAATTTTATTGCAGATGCAAGCATACCATCAAGGCAGGATTCTCAATTTCTGCTTTCCTAATTTTAATTCGAAATTCAATTTCCATTTAGATAAGCTACCCAGCAGCTTATATACATTTATAATACGTTAAAAGTTTAGATGCGCCAAGCAAGCTTTAATATATAAAAGGGCTCTCCAACTTTTAACATTACCATTATCGAAATACCGAAGGGTCGGGAATTATTTATTGCAATATCTTATGAAATGGAAGTAATCAAAGGGAGTCTCGCAGTACATTTTCTTATTAGAAATAATGGCGTTAATGTAGAGAAAGACAACAGCTCTACATCGATACCAAAGTCATGAATGGTCATGAACTCTTAATTATAATTAAATGTTTGGTACGATTAGGCGATTATAAAATCTGATATAGCCATGATGATTCAAGATAAGGACCAGAGGTTGACGTTAATTATTTAATTTAATGAATTTGGCGATCTATAATTTGATCAGTCACTGGATTGCGGATGCGTTGTAATCGATTAATCACGGGGAACGTTACTAGAGACAGTCTGACGACCGATAATATTATTTTAATCGGTTTCACGTGCTCAATACAGCTCAGTCAGGATTACTCATGATGGTATGTTTCGAGTTTCATGTGAAACGCTGGCCTTTATACACATTTGGAAGAAAACGATCCAATGCATTAATTGCTGGAAATCTGTCTAAAGGAGTTTGTTTGCCAATACTAATTTGTATGAAGTTTACTTAAGTATCGACCAAACTGTTAACCACCAAGGTCGTTTCCTTAATGAATTCATGGCTGAAAATGCGTTCACTTTGCACAATGGCAGAACTTGCAGCAATTATCCTGCAAGTTATACGTTTCTTAATAGCCTAGGTAGAAGCCTTAACAAGTGTAACAATAATTCTCTGCATTTTGTAAACAATTTGAACGTACACAATACTGTTGCTGAATCCAATCATTTCCCTGTAACACTGGAATTAAATTTTGTTCATGATTATTATGGTACATATTCATCAAACAGATGTGAAAAAAAAGAGAATCATTGAAGTGGAGTGACACAACTAGCCAAAATTATTACATCCAAATGCAATTGTCGCCAACTCCTCTACTAGGCAGCTCTGTTGCCAGATTCACAAAAATAACTAAAAAACCCTAAGGAAACTAATTACTCTGCGAACGTAGTTACACATCATTTGACTTCAAAAAAACAGTATAAAAAATTGCTAAAGAAAAAAGTGCATTTTTAAAAATCTCGACTCTATGCATTAAGTAACGTCAAAAAATCACTCTATGTGTTGGGAAACTTTAAAGCCTTTTAACCAAACTGCTACAAGCAACCCAGTAACCATTGAGCAGTGGGAACATTTCTTCGCTTCTCATTACCTAGGGTTTTAGACAGCAATACACGTCTGGATGCCTGCCAAGCTGCCATCCTCTACTTGATGAAGCCATCAGTATGGTAGAAGGAAACTTGACCTTAAATTCAACCAACAGTTATGAATCACCTGTAATTGCTGTTAAAAAATATAGAAGATACTCATTTGACAAAGATGTCTCCCAAATTCAACTGTCCGCGTATACAATTTGAAGTCAGAAGGTTTCAAATTCTCCCAGCGAATAGAAAAAATTATTTATTAAAATGTTCTTTAGCTCTCGCTTAAATTTAGCATCAATTTTTTACCCTTTCTGGGAGTTTGTTAAAAAGACCAATTCCTGCTTTAAAAGGCGATTTTCTAGGCGATTTTTTTGCAATAGGAATGTGAACTTCTGCTCAGTGCAGTAATTTTCTGTAAAAAGATTACTTTAAATGCAATTAAATTATTATTATTATTATTATTAAAAAATTCATGCATAAATTGTGATTTGGTTAATTGATAACGCTCTTGCGGATGAACTTCTAAAAATAGCACAGGCCCTACCCATCGTTTTATATGGGTAACGTTGAACAAATTAGAGACAAGCTTTAGCACCTACTATTTTCCAATATTTCTATAAAACGCATAGGAAACTGATCACCTAGGTTGCCTACAATATGATAAATTCAATATTGCCTGCAAGGGGGGTGTTCGACTTGCCCCCCCCCCTTTGTTTTTGTATTTGCCAAGGTTTCGTATCTCACTCGAAAATTATTCAATTTTTCTGAAGAA